CGCGACCCTTTCAAGGACTCTCGTGGTTAACGTCCCAGAAATGGCGCTTTGGCCAGATGTCGGGCTGCCAGGGCGCAACATGTACTTTGATTCGCGGTGCTGAAGTCCCACGAATGGTCTGGCACGGTTGAGGGCCGTCAAGGCGCAAGAGTAACGGTGGCTCGCGGCGTTGAAGTCCCAGGAATGGTGTTCTGGGACAGCTCGGGATGTCCAAATAGCTGGATTCCAGCAGGGCACTTCCTTCAGTGAATATGAATCCGTATCGGAGCCTATGAAGAGGGAACTTGGAGGGAGGGTGTATTGCAACATCGTTGATGCGTCTTGGGTTTGCACTGGTCCTCCTCCTCCTCCTCCTCGTCCTCCTCATCCTCTTTCAATATACTCGAATATTGGTCCTTCTCCTTCTCCTCCAGCCATCCCCTCGAACCTCGATCCTTTCCTCTCCCCCACCCCTCGACTGAGGCGCGAACATCAAAGGGTCGAAGGCTTCCAGCTTCCAGCTCCCTCCCCCCCGTCGCCCTCCTAGACGGATGGGGGGTGCAAAGCGCGAGGAGGATGAAGATAGGAGAGGCGGGAGGATAGATATTCGAGGTCCTCCTCCTTCTCCTCCTCCACCTCCTCCTCCTCCTCTCACCACTCATCATCATCGTCGTCATCATCACCATCAGCAACACCAGTACCCTCGACAACACTATTTGCAGCATCGTCATCATCATCAACACCAAAATCGGCATCACCACCACCATCACCACCACCGCCATCATAATACTGACAATACTGATTGAGAATCGCAATCATCCTCATCATCAGTATCGTCATCAGCATCAGCATCATCACCAGCATCACCATCAACATCGGATTGTCACCATCGTACCATTATCATCATCATAAACGGAATCATCTCGTCCTCAGCATCGCCATAACCATGATCAGTATCATCAGCATATCAACAGCATCATCATCATCAGCAGCAGCAGCAGCATCACCATCATCGTCATCGCCCGAACCAGCATCATCGACACCATCGTAGTCGTGAGCGCTATCATCATCATCAGCATCATCAGCAGCAGCATCGTCATCATCATAATCAACAACATCACCACCACCATCATCATCACCACCTCATCATCATCCGCCATCTCCACCTCGCACTGGCGAAGATTGAGAGGAGTCAAATACAGGGAGAAGGAGGAGGCAGTCGACTCTAAGATCCTCGACGGTGGATCCCCATTTCTCTCATCTCCTCAAGGTCGGAAAGGGGGGGAGAGGATGATTGCGTAGCGAAGAGGCCCTCCCCTCGAACGTCGATCCTCCTCCTCGTTCCTCCTCATCCTCATCGGAAATGGGAGCTGGATGAGGAAGACGGGCAGGGAGGATGTGGGAGGAGGGGAATGTGCAAAGCGAACGATGGTGCCTGCATCCTCCTCCTCCCTCTCCCCTCCCCCCCCTGCCCCCGAACCTCGATCCTCGCAACCCCACTTCTCTCGACTCGATCCTCCGCTCAGCACTCTGGCCCTCAAGGTGGAGGGGCGAGAAGGGAGGAGGAGGAGGAGGAGGAGGAGGAGGAGGAGGAGGAGGAGGAGGTGGTGGAGGAGGAGGAGGAGGAGGAGGGAGGGGCGAGAAGGGAGGAGGAGGAGGAGGAGGAGGAGGAGGGAGGAGGGAGGAGGAGGAGGAGGAGGAGGTGGAGGGGCGAGAAGGGAGGAGGAGGAGGAGGAGGTGGAGGAGGAGGTGGAGGTGGAGGGGCGAGAAGGGAGGAGGGAGGAGCACGTCATCGAGTCTTTGGTCCTCGAGCCGCGAGCTCGGATCCTGGTCCTCCTCCTTCCTGCGCGAGCTGGCTCTTCCTCGGTGCCCCCCCGCCTCGAATCTCGATTTTCCTCCTCCTCCTCCTTCTCCTCCTCCTCCTCCTGCTCCAACAATGCCCTCGAAACTCTATCCTCTATCCTCCTCCCTCCCCCTCCCCTCGACCGAGGCGCGAGAATCAACGGGTCGGGGGCTTGGAGCTCCCCCCTCCCTCCTCACCGTCCTCGGGGGAGGGGGGGATGGTTCCAGGTGCGAGGGGGGTACAGGTATGGGAGGGGCGGGTTGTGGGGTGGGGTGGGGGGGCGATATCTGAGGGTAGAGATTCCTCCTCATCCACCCTCTCATCCCCTCGCACCCTCTTTCCCCATCCAAGCTTTGATGTTCGAGCCTGGGTCGTCCTCCTCACCTTGATATTTCTCTCCTCCTCCTCCTCCTCCTCCTCCCAACAATTGGGTGGAAGATGGAGAGGAGTCAAATGCAGAGAGGAGGAGGCCGTCGACTCTAAGATCCTCGGCCGTGGATCCTCTCTTTCCCACCTCCTCAAGCAGTGGGAGGGAAGAGGATGAGTGCGTAGAGAGGAGGCTCTCCCCTCGAACCTCGATCCTCCTCCTCCTCCTCGTTCCTCCGCCTCCCTCCTCGGATATGGGGGCGGGAGGAGTGAGAAGAAAAGAGCCAAACGGAGTAGGGGGAGGGAGGAGGAGTAGGAGGGGGAGGAGGAGGTGGGAGAAGGGACGAGGTGCGCGAGGCCTGGCAACTGAGGAAAGAGTTCACACATGTTCCTTTTCAGCTGAATCCCATTTGTGTGGCGGACTCCATATTGATTCCCCTTTTGCGAGGGTTTACACATCGACTCCCGTTGTGGGGGTCATATAAATTCCCTGTGTGTGTGTTTGTGTGTGTGGGGGGGGACATTTATTCTCCGTGTGCGTGGGGGGGCCCTTCGATTCCTTTTGTGTGCGTGGGGGGGCGCTACAAAACCACTCCCTCTGTGTGAGGGGCAAGGTGGATTGTATCTGTGGGGGAGGAGGGGGTCTGACCCTGGGGGAAAGAGCCCAGGATCCAAAATCAGCAACGGCAACAGCATGTAACTAGTGAACACGCTACACGTCGGTCGGAAGAAAAAGGTAAAAACATGAAGTAGGAAGGCGGATATAGTGGATTGGGTCCAGGCACCCCCAGAGAAAAACAAAAAACAGCGAGAGCGTGCCGATTCTTGGAGTAGGAAGGCGCTTGAAGTAGATTAGGAACTGGGAATCCAAAAATACCTACTTTCAACGACCGGCGTGCAATCTATTTTTGACCGCCGGGGTCCGGAAAGAAGACGGCACCAACGCATTCACTAGTCCTGCTGTCTGTGCCTGGACTTGTTCGCCCGGGGCCAGACCCTCCCCTCGTCCCCCACAAAGGAAATCGAATGGACCCCCACACACAGACACACACACAGAAGGACTCTGCTTGTAACCCCCCTGCAGAGGGAATCTAAGTGCAACCCCCGCAGAGGGGATCTGTGTACCATCCCACACAGAGACAGAGAGAGAGAGAGAGAAAAAAAAACAAAAACAAAAAAAAGACAGAGAGCGGGAGAGACAGAGAGACAGAGAGAAAAAGGAAGAACGGGGGGAGCGCAAGACAGATATGTAATGGGGAAAACAGAAATAGAGACAGAGAAAGAGAGAGAGAGAGAGAACAAAAAAAAAACGAGAAAGAAAGAGAGAGAGAGAGAGAGAGAGAGAAAGGGAGAGAGAGAGAGAGAGAGCGAAATGGATCTCTCTCATTTTGTTGTGTATCTCTCTCTCTCTCTCGTCTCTTTCACCGCGCGCAAAGCGCACCTGCAAAACACTTTCGCCCCCGCCTAATGCCTCGAGAAACCGGCCAGCCGTCTCCCCTCGCCGCGGGAGGGAGCCTGTGCGCCTGGCTATCTCGGGACCGGCGCGGGACCGCGCCCGCTTCGGGGCCAGAATGCTGTTCTTCTGAAGCGGAAGAGTTGGACATGACGTGTTACAGTCGGCCTTGATTGGACAGGACACGCGAGAGGACACAAGACCCTTCCGAGGGCCACATCGCCATAGGAGTGTAAGAAGGCACGTGCTGCGAGATACAGGACACAAGGGTAGTCTCGAGCTGGCAGGGTCGACATACTGATCCGGGCCGCCTGCACGTTTGACGACAACGCTGTCGACGTGAGGGCATGAGCTTCAAGACGTTTGGTCTCGGGGTGCAGGGCCTACAGGGCTAGGGGCGTCCACCACCCGCGGCCGCGGAACTCCGCGATTGGGGCGCCGGGCTCGCCTCCAAGTTGTTGAAGCGGGCTTCGGAAAAGCGGACTCCCCGCTGACTCGTCCCCCCCTGTCCTGGCCAGGAGCTGTAACACGAATCAGCCCCAGAACCCCAGCTGGGCACCACTGCGACGAGTAGCCCGGGCCCGGTTTCACGACAGTGGCTGTGGCCCCCATGCGGTAGTGATTGCTCTCTTTCTGGTTGGACGCGCGCGCGAGCTCGCGGCAGTGTCTAGGCGTGGTCAAATCGAAAACCGACGGCGCTGGCGGCGCGCCGCGTGGCCTCAAGTGGAGGCCTGCACGGTCGTGACAGAGCCCCGCCGCTCCCCCTCACCCAGGCCTCCACCCGAGGTCCCCCCCCCTCCTCCTCCCCCTCCCCCTCCCCCTCCCCCTCCCCCTCCCTCCTCCTCCTCCTCCTCCTCCTCCTCCTCCTCCTCCTCCTCCTCCTCCTCCTCCTCCTCCTCCCTCCTCCTCCTCCTCCTCTTTCTCCTCCCCCTCCTCCTCCCCCTCCTCCTTTTCCTCCTCCTCCCCCCCCCCCCCCTGGTGAGAAGCAGGGCGGGCGGCCCGGGCCCGCGCACGGCCCCGGCCCGAGGGCGACCTCCCGGCCGTCTGGCGCGCGGGGGGCGGCGGCAGCGCGGGCACTGCCCGAGGAGCCACCAGAGAGCCCCGCGCGACGTCACTCGCGGGGAGATCGCCCGGGGGCGTGTCGCGGCCGGCGGGGCCGCGGGAGCGAGCCGGGAGCGCGCTGGAACGGGCTCCCGTGGAGCGGAGGGGGCAGGAGTCGGCGGGAGAAGCAGGAGGAGTTGAGAGGGGAGGGGGGGGAAGGCAGGGGCGACGGTTCCGCCACGGCCGAGCAACAAAAATAAAACTAGAGCGCAAGCGCTAAGCCAGCGCCACCGTGCGCGGCCCTACCGCCGCGGCCACCTACAGGTCCTGCAGCATCTTCTCCACGAGGGACGCCGACGGGTCGTCGTCGCCCGCGGGGTCTCCCTCCGCGGCCGAGACGTTGAGGGTCTTGATGACGCCATCCTCGATGAGGGCCGAGAAGCGCTTGCAGCGCGGGACGCCGAGCACGGACATCACGCCGGGGTCGTCGAGCACGAGGCCGAACGCCTTGGTGACCTCCGAGTGCGGGTCGCCGTAGAAGCTGATCATGGAGCCTGCCACTCCTTGGTCCTCGGCCCACGCCTTCATGACGGCGGCGTCGTTCACGCAGTAGACGATGACATCATCGACGCCCTTGGCCTTCAGCTCGGCCTGCTTGCTCAGGTATCCAGGAACCTGCGTGCTGGATCAGGTGGGAGTGAAGGCGCCGGGGAGGCCCACCAACACGACCTTCTTGCCCTTGCACATCTCCGCCAGGTCGAACTTCTCGGGCGGGAAGCCCTGGTCGAGCTTCACCGAGGGCACCGCGTCCCCCACGGCGAGAGCGCGGCAGGCCGTCGCGGCGGGCGCGCGCTTGCCTGCCCCACGGCGGCGCGGGGCCGCGGCGGCGGCGACGAGGCCGCCGAGGGCGGCGGCGCCGAAGACGACGGCCCTGGGAGCACCGGCTGCGGCCTGCCGCCCCGCCACGGGCGCCAGGCTGGCCACGGGGGCACCGCGCAGCGATGCGGCGCCCGCCCCAGCGGCGGGCGTCGCCACGAAGGCGCTGGCCTGTCCGAACAGGCCTGCGAGCGCCGCGGCCGAGGCCGCCGTCGCTTTTGGCATGGAGCGGGCGGGCGCGCGCTCGCGGAGCGGAGCGGGGCGGGCGTGGGGCGGGCCCCGGCGGGGGAGGCCTCGAGCCAGAAGTTACACTTCAGCCAACCCATGCGACAACGATTACACACATCAAGATACACGGAGCCACGCTCCTCCTTCTGCTCTCTGCGCGAGATGACCGCCGCTGAACAACTTCTAGGGAGGCCGGCACCCCCGTGCGCGGAGCCTTCCAGCGGCAAGAGTAGCCGCCCGTTTTGTCTCGTGGCTCCCCAGTCAATTTCGGTTGGCTGCGGAGTTCACTGCGATTGTGCCTCCTCCTTCTCCAGCTCCCATCGTCTGCATCCTATTTCTGAATTCTGAGCCACAGAACGTTTACGATGACCGATTACATCTACTTCGAATGGAGCCGCACATGAAGCTGGCGACGACGGGACAATGATTTGCACGTTTTGCCCGAAATGACAAAAACAAGAACATACTGAGGCTGCTCTCGTCAGCAGAGGGGCGAGCGCATCCATGACCGAAGAAGGTCGCAACCTGCAAGTGTCTAACACCCAGCGACGACAATGCTCACCACTAGTATTACTACTGATAACCTGCCGCTTTGCCGAAAGTGCTGAGCGGAGTGTCCCCAGGCCCCTCAGAGCTCGCAGTCCACAATATTCAAAACTAGAACCATCGCGCGCGCTTCACGCGCGCTCAGGTTCTCCAGAATCTCAGCTCGCTGTGAGATGCCGAAGGTTGGGCGACGGTTCCGGACATGACTTTAGTCCGAAGACGCTATGGAAAAACTTAGTACACAGCCCTTCCCTGAGCACGGAGGCCTCCCGGCGGACGACGAAGCGGACGAGGGAGCCGGTTTGGAGGTCGAGAAATGGGACAAGGGTCCAGGAGCATGACGGCAACGAGGACAAGGACTGAACGGGAAGGAATGGAATGGAATGGAATGGAATGGTCAACTGACAAAGTCATCACTAATTCAGACTGTCTCCACTCAGATGACGAAGGAGCCGTGTACAACTGGCACTGGTGGAAGATGTAAGAGGATGAACGCAAATGAAGTGAATTGAAAGGAAATCCCGTTCACCAGGGCTTTCACACAGGATCCCAGCGGAGTGGAGTGAGTCTTTGAAGACGACAAGAGCGAGGAGGCCACAAAAAGAGGAGGGGCCACCGCGCCCCTCGTCCACGTGCGCCCCTCCCGGTGGCCTTCTGCACATCCTGCCACCTGCCTGGGCTGCTGGTGCGAGACCGCGTGGGGCCTTCTGGAATGCCTGCTCGCGTCTCGGGGGAAACCTCTGGGGAGTCTCTTGGAGGCAGCTCGAAGCCTCCTTTTCGGGGCCTCCTTTTGGCCCTCTGTCCTCTCTGGGGGCTCCTTTGGGGGCCCGCTGTCGGCCTTCGGGGTCCTCCTGGAGGCGGAGGGCGCAAAATGTGGGTCTGCACTCCCCCTCCCCAGGCCCCTATTGGAGCCCTCTGGGGGCCGTCTTGGGCGGTCCTGGGTGCCTCTACACCCTGCGAAATGCTTAAGAAATCATGAATGAAGATATTCATAGTCTCAGAACTTGAATAAAACCCAAAACTTCTATCAACATCTTGGGATTTACATTGAAAGGTTAAGAATAATCGAGACTCTGGACGAAAACTTAGGTTTTCTTATGCATCGCCTAGGGTGTAGGGCCGTCTTGGGGCTCTCTTGGGCTGTGTTGGGGCTCTCTGGGGGACCTGTTGGGCCGTTTTGCGGCTCCGGGGCCGTCTTGGACGCTGCGCACATGAAAACAGCGAATGTGCTAAAAATGTGTTTTTCTTATTCCCTACCTAAGCTCTGCCTAGAAGGGTTCTTACTGTCTTGGCTTAAAGGGGCCGGGCAGTGGAAAGCGCCCCGGGCGGTCCCCCCAGTCCCCTGGGAGCCAAGCAAAAGCAACAGCAAACGTAAAAGCAAACGCGCGGTTCCCCCTGTTGCGCTCCTTGGGTGCCAAGCAAAAATAAAAGTAAAGGCAACCGTGAAGGCAAAAGCGAAGGCAAAGCAAACACATAGCATAGTATAGCATAGCATAGCGCAGCATAGCATAGCGCAGCATAGCATAGCATAGCATAGCATAGCCTAGCCTAGCCTAGCCTAGCCCAGCATATCATTGCGCAGCATAGCATAGCATGGCATAGCATAGCAGAGCATAGCATACCATAGCATAGCATAGCGCAGCACAGCATCCACTATTGCTGCTGCTATATATATATATATATATATATATATATAAGTATTTGTATGTATATGTGCGCACGTATGCTCCATGCACTATATGTGTGCGTGCGCACGTATGTATGTACTTATATGTGTGTGCGCGTGTGTACTTATATGTGTGTTCGTTACTGCTACAACTACGACGATGAGGAGAAGGAGGAGGACGGCGTTTACCGCTCCTAGTAATGTTGCTTTCCTAGAGGCTCCAACTCCTAGGTAGGGTCGCACTGGGATAATTTGAAAGGGGGCGATGTTTGCCCCTTTGGGCCCTCTTAAGGGTCCTCTTGGAGCCGTCTTAGGGCCCTCTGGGTCCCCTCGCGGGGATCTTGGGGGGCCTGCCGGCAATTCTTGGGATCATCTCGGGGCGGAGAACTGAACATGTGGGTTCGCACTCCCCCTCCCCAGGCCCCTCTTGGAGCCCACTTGGGGCCGTCTTGGGCGGTCCTGAATGCCTCTGGGGCCGTCTTGGGGCACTATTGGGCAATCTTGGGACTCTCTGGGGAAGCTGCTGTGCCGTCTTAGAGCTCTCCGGGGAGCCGTCTTGGACGCTGCGCACATGAAAACAACGAGCGTGCTACAAATGTGCGTCTTCCTCAGGGAATGTGGCGATGTTTGCCTCTTCGGGCTCTCTTGAGGGTCCTCTTGGAGCCGTCTTTTTCCCCACATCCTGAATGGGGTTTTGTTTTCCCAGAATATCCTCTCCTTCTCCCTCCCGCCTCCCGCCTCCCATATCAATACCATTTCCACCCCACCAGGGATGCCCCGCCTGAGCGAGGCGGGTATCGGAAAACCATACTATTTACATGGTTTCGTGCCCTTCCCACCTCTCCAGGGAGGCCCCGCCTCAGCGAGGAGGGTATCGGACAACCATACTATTTACATGGTTTCGTGCCCTTCCCACCTCTCCAGGGAGGCCCCGCCTGAGCGACGAAGGTATCGGAAAACCTATACTATTTACATGGTTTCGTCCCCCCTTCCACCCGTCCAGGGAGACCCCGCCTGAGCGAGGATGGTATCGGAAAACCATATTCTTTACATGGTTTCGTGCCCTTCCCACCCCTCCAGGGAGGCCCCGCCTCAGCGAAGAGGGTATCGGACAACCATACTATTTACATGGTTTCGTGCCCTTCCCACCTCTCCAGGGAGGCCCCGCCTGAGCGAAGAGGATATTGGAAACCCATACTATTTACATGGTTTCGTGCCCCTCCCACCCCTCTTGGGAGGCCCCCGCCTGAGCGAGGAGGGTATCGGAAACCCATATTTTTTACATGGTTTCGTGCCCCTCGCACCCCTCCAGGGAGGCTCCGCCTGAGCGAGGAGGGTATCGGAAACCCATACTATTTACATGGTTTCGTGCCCCTCCCACCCCTCCAGGGAGGCCCCGCCTGAGCGACGAAGGTATCGGAAAACCTATACTATTTACATGGTTTCGTGCCCCTCCCACCCCTCCAAGGAAACCCCGCCTGAGCGAGGATGGTATCGGAAACCCGTACTTATTACATGGTTTCGTGCCCCTTGTCCACCCCTCCAGGGAGGCTCCGCCTGAGCGAGGAGGGTATCGGAAACCCATACTCTTTACATGGTTTCGTGCCCCTTGTCCACCCCTCCAGGGAGGCTCCGCCTGAGCGAGGAGGGTATCGGAAACCCATACTCTTTGCATGGTTTCGTGCCCCTCCCATCCCTCCAGGGAGGCCCCGCCTGAGCGAGGAGGGTATCGGAAACCCATACGATTTACATGGTTTCGTGCCCTTCCTAAGCCTGCCCCGGTCACTCCTTCTAAGGATTTCGCGGGAGGAGGAGGACGGGGAGGAGAAAGGAAAGGTAGAGGAAGAAGAAGCAGAGGAAGAGAAGGGGGTGGTGGAGGAGGAGGAGGAGGGGCACATGCGTTCCAAGTCGATGGTAATCCATACTTCAGGGCCCGCCTTTTAGGGCCCGCCTGAGAAAGACGGCGACGCCGACGCTGCCGACGACGACTACGACATCGACGAGGGCGAAGACAGAGGAGGAGAAGGAGGAGGAGGAGGAGGAGGAAGGACGAGGAAAAAGAAACCACCCAAACCAACCTCACGAATCGGACCTTGGACGCCTGGGCGACTCACCCGCCCGCCCGACCCTCCTCCTTCTCATGTTCATACTCCAGGTCATCCTCCCGCTGCTGCTCCTGATGCGGTTCCTGCTGCTGTTCTTCACCATCATCCATCTTATCCTCTTCCTCCTCCTCCTCCTCCTCCAGGAGGGTATCGGAAAACAGTGCAGTTTACACGGTTTCGTGTCCCTCCTCCAATCCTCCAGAGAGGCCGTGCATGAACGAGGAGGGTCGCGGAACGCACTACTCTTTACCAGGTTTCGTAGCCCTCCCCCCTTCCAGCGGGGCCCCGCCAGAGCGAGGAGGGTATCAAGAAACCGTACTAGTTACAAGGCTTCGTTTCCTGAGCACCTGTCCTCCCTCCTCTTTTCTTTCGTCTGCCTTTTCGTGCGTACTTACTCGTTCGATGAGTTTCTCCTTCGTGTTGATGTTGTCGTACCCCATGGGTCCCACGAAACCGTTAAGATCTGTACGTGGGGAACTCCGTTAGCATAATTTGTTCCAAGCGCACGACCCTTCAACCCCTGAGTTTCTTTTCGTCACTTGAGGTCACTGTGCCTCAAGCTCCCCTTGCACGGCAATTGTGGCATTGCCTCCGCCGGGCACTTCGAGCCAGCGACCTCGGCCCAAAGTGGCCCGCCCAGGCTGAGACTCCTCAGCAGCAGCAGCAGCAGCAGCAGCAGAGACACGCACACGGGGGGAGGAGGAGGAAGTAGAGAACTGCACAGCGGCCTGTTGACTCCAAGCACGTGAAAGGAACTTATGATGGCGCGAGGTGGTTCGCAACCGAGCTTCAAAATGCTCTTCTGGGGTCCCTGGGGTGCCCTTACGCCTGGCGGAATGGGCAGAGAGAAAAGCATCGATGCAGGCAGCATGAAAACAGCAGGGAGGAGAAGAGCCAGGGATAACCCTCAAGAAACGACGACGATGGTGGCAGAATGTGTCCAAGCCAACAATGAAAGAGGTGAAAGAGTCGAGGACAGCGAGCGTAGTGAGCAACAGAGTCGAGATCAGATCCTTGCGCTTGTGGGCACCCCAGGAGGCAGCCTTGCGCTGCCGAATGAAACCACGACGAGGTACATACGGATCTTGTGAGGAATCTGAGGATCGAGACAATCAGGTAGGGCTGGGTTTTCTGAATCACGAAATAAGCATTACTACAAAACCTGTCAATCATTTCACGCTGGACCAGAGGAAAACATTTCTGGATACGCCGCTGCAAGTTACTGTGTGGGTGTTCACGGCTCGTTGTATTGGCGTCCTCTTGGAGCCGTCTTGGGGCGTCTTGGGAGCCTCTTGGGCCATCCGGAATCCACGTTTGCCCATATGGGACCCATGTGGAACATACCCAGACTGGCAGAGTCTTGGGGAGGGGGAAGGCGTGGTGGCGGCCCACCTCCCCATCTCAAGGCACTCGCCGAAGTACTCTGTCCACTCCTGACAGAGGGAGGGACGGGGGGGGAGGAGAGGGGGTGATAGGAGAGAGGGGCGAGGAGGAGAGAGGAGTGGCGGACGAGAGGGCAGGGACGGGAGGGGGGAGGGCAGAGAGCAAAGGTGAAGGGAGCGGGAGGGGGGAGGCGCGGCTGCGAGGGAGGTGAGGGGAAGGAAGGACTGGTGAGGAGAGGAGAGTCGAGGAGAGGGGAGCAGGGGAGTTGAGCGCACAGGAGGACTGTCCTCCTGCTCCTCCTCCTCCTCCTCCTCCTCCTCCTCCTCCTCCTCCTGCTCCTGCTCCTGTTCCTCCTCCTCCTCCTCCTCCTCCTCCTCCTCCTCCTCCTCGTCCCACTCCCTACTCCTCTTCCGGTCCCGACTGTCTCCTTGCGAAGGGGTGGACCGGATTGACCGTGGTGGCCGCGCTCAAGGCAAGGAGGAGGCAGTGGCGAAGAACAGCAGGGCAGGGCAACGGCAGCGGCAGGGGAGGCGGGGCAGACTGGACGAAGGGGGGGCAGACTGGACGAAGGGGGGGCAGAGGCGTGGCAGAGGCGTGGCAGGCAGCCCTGCGCATCTCGACGACACGGGACGAGGCGAAGCGCGAGAGCCCGGGGCGAAGCGCAGCGCGGCAGGCCACGACGGCCAGGACCGTGACAGCCCGGGGCAGAACCCGTGGAGCGAGAGACATCAGAGGGTATCAAAAGCGGGAGGTCACGGAGGAGGGGGCAGAGAAGTGAGAGCCCATTGGGCAACAGAGATAGCGGAGGATCAGGTCATCCCCGACGGCACTGCATCCCCAGACACGCCCACATTGGCCGTGTCTGAACCTGCGGGCGGTGGGCCAGCAGCCGAACAGGACTTCAATCAGCGAAGTCAAGAAACACTGAGGGGAGGAAACTCCGGTCGCGACACCTAATCGGGGGAAACATCGATCAGCTGCTTCGCGGGTCAGATCGGACTTCCAGTGCCAGTTGGGGATGGTTGACGGCGAGATAAGACTTTGCAGGAGAGACTCTGGAGAGATTTGGGGGCCATGTCATAGGGACTCCCCGGGAGAGCGAACATGTGATAACGCGCACGAGCAAATTGACTCACGGTGATGAGGATTGGAAAGTCCAGCCCAGGACATTTCGGCAACCTCTTTGGCTGCAGGCGCTGGCCTTTTCAAGGCTTTCCCTCTTGGTATTTCGCACTACTTGCGTTTCCAGGCGGTGCTTCTTGTTGGTGACAGCTTACTTCAGATGTTCGAAGGAAAGTCACCCACAGCCCAATCACCAAGCAACGCCACATTGCTTGGCAATCCGAATCAAACTCTTCTTGAGTGCCACTGTGACGAAATGATTCGCGTCTGTCGAAAGCTCAAGATAGCAGGGCAACAAGCGCTTGAGATGACTTGGCCGACATCTTGAGAGAAAACAACTGGACTCGGAAGCGCAAGGGGCGGAGGCTCGCGCGGGCAATGGGTGGGAAGAGGTGTCGGGGAGCGCGGGTGAGGAGCTGGTGGCGCTCTTCGACGATGGTATTGGCCCGTGGACGGCTCAGAACTCCGGGCCGATGGCGGGGGAGATTGGGGGGGGGAGCTGGTTCCAGGTAGCTGCGGAGCGGACAAGACTGTGGCCCAACGTTTGACCATGTGGGTGCGTTGCTGAAGGTTGGCCAGGGGGGCCGGGGGTTATCCAGGATGTTCGTCTGCCTCCCGCGCCTAGACCCCGAGGTAATTACTTGCCGCGCTCAGAGTTCTGGCGGGCCGAGACAGCCTGCCCCCGGCCAGGGAAGCGTTGACGTCGGCGATGCAGCGCGTCTGGAAGTTGAGCGCAAGGCACGTCGCGAGTGCTGCTCTCTGCAGCAGGCGCGCAATGATGAGACGCATCGAGCACCGCAAAGAGGTCGCGTCGGATCACATCTCGATGCCTTCTTCTGAACCAATGAAACTTTCAGGGCCAGGTTAGGGACGAGCGCGAACAGAGCCCCTGACAGTGGGCACCCAGCGGGAAACGAGTTGCCAACGTCGACGAACGTCCAAACTCCATCGCACAGCGTTTTAATGGCACCGACGGTTTGAAGGGTGGCCGTCGTCTTCCTAGGCGCTGCAAAGATCCACCGCTGGAATGCGTTCGGGAAGGCATTCTGAACGTTGAACAGGCAGCCTCCCACCTCGCGAGTGCCAAGAGCATGAGACCAGGTACGTGAAGGCGAATCCATTTCGATGATGTCGTCGAGCATCGAACGACTGCCCACGGATCTCCGACGACGCGGATCGACAGATCCGGAGGCGACGTGCAGGGGGTAGGCGAAGAGGAACGAATCGACCTTGTTGTCCGAGTTCGAAAGGGACAATATTCGGGCTTGGCCTGGACACCTGATCTCCGCGCCTCCAGGTACCGGGTCGTCCTTCGGCGGGAGGGCGGCCCTGCGGAAAATGAATTGGTCGCACTCTCGATGCGCGTTCACCATGCAAAGGAACGCACCGTGCAAGAAAGCGCGGGCCAGCCTCAGACCAAGCCACCAAACCGAAGAAGGGGCCCCGTCGGGGCCAGGATCAGCGTCTATTTCAGTCCAGGAGAATGGGCATCTGGTCGTAGCTCGCAATCCGATCAACGCGCTGGCAAGTAGAAGATGCACGCCTGCCGCATTGATCCTCAAGCGGCGCCACCCGCGACAGGGGAAAGTTCGCCGCGCTCTCATTCACTTGGGAATAGGCCTCCGCGTCAAATACTTCGCCCAGTACCTGGACACCGCCTGCGCCATCTGCGCTGGATCAGAAGTAACTAGCGGCCCCCTCCGCGCGAAGCCCCGCCAGGTAGATTTTGGGTCTCAAAGCGTTCCAGGCCGCGGAAAGACGCCGCATCCGAGTCAGATTCTCAGGTTTCGCATCGGGGGGGGGTCCGAACTGCCGAGGACTTCTGATCCACCCATGGATGAGGGAGATGTGCCGGCGGAGCCCTGGCCAGTCCATTCCAGCGGCAGTCCTGCGCGCAGGAGAAAAGCGGGGGCCTCAAGGTGGGCCCTCGCTGCGAAGTTGGCAACGCCAACACGGCCGGCACGAGCAGCGCGCAGGAGGCGAAGACAAATGCGCACCCTCCCTTCACCACTCTCAGCCCCGACGCGTTGAATATGCCATCTGGCTTTCCGAGCAACGTGCCCCTTGGACTCTGTGAGCGAGACCGGGAGGGAGATGAAGATCGGGGCGCAATCAAATGGTTTCTCGAGGTCCAGGATGGGCCGGAAGCTGGGGGAGACGGGGCTGCAGCGGATAACAATAGCACTGGGTAATATTGTGTCTATGCGATCGAATCAAGCGCACCTGGGGCCAGCGTCAACGATCGCGCGACGTGCGCAATGAGGTTGGCGCACTTCAGCATAGAGAAAGAAGACCTGGTCGAAGACAGCCGTGAGCCTAGAAGAATTGAATGTTCCCCGCCCCGTGAGAGAATGCTATCTGGGACCCCCGTTCTCGGGGAAATTGGAATCGCCCGCGACGAACGATGTCGTGAGGGGAGAAGGGAGGATGGCGCCACGAAGCCACCACAACACAGATCTAGCAAAGGCCTCCGTCGAGAGGGAATCCAGCGTGCACGCGTGCAACTCGAGGCACCTGAATCTGGCCAGCGAGCGTGAAGACTCCGACCCAGCCAGGCCCACATTCGGTGAACGAGCAATCGGAGAGGAGAGCACGGAGGGAATCCTGAACCAAAACCAAGATGCCACCAGCGATCCCCGATTCCATGGACGGACCACGTACGGCGGCTACCCCGCCCGAGCAGAGACGCATCGGCACAGTTCCCGTGGGCATCCTGGATGCGGACGACGAGCGAGCAGGTCGAGAGAGGGGAGACGATGTACATATATATATATATATATACATATATATAGAACCACGCGCGCGCTTCGCGCGCGCTTAGGTTCTGTCGAGTCACAGACCCAGGAATCGTTGTGAGAAGAAATTGGTGACGCGAAGCGTCGTGGGGGCGTCCTTGGACGTCTGGGGTCTCCTGGGGCCTCTTGATGGGTCTCCTGGGGCCTCTTGAGGGGCCTCCTGGGGGCCTCCTGGCGGCCTCTTGGGGCGGAAGGCTCGAGCTTGCGGTTCGTGGTCCCCCTCTGGGCCCCCTCTTGGGCCCGTCTTGGGGCCCTCTTGGGCCATCTTGGGCGCCTCTTGGGCCGTCTTGGGGCCCTCTTGGGCTGTCCTGGGGCCCTCTTGGAAGCTTCTTGGGCCGTCTTGGGGCGGTCTTGGGCGCCTCTTGGGCCGTCCTGTAACGTCGGAAAGCCCAAAAGACAACTTTGTTGAACAATGTACGTTTTACGAAGGGAATGGGCCAATTTTTGCGTCTAGGGGCCCTCTTGGGACGCATGTTGGAGGCTTCTTGGGGCGTCTTGGGGGCGTCCTTGGACGTCTGGGGTCTCCTGGGGCCTCTTGAGGGGCCTCCTGGGGGCCTCCTGGCGGCCTCTTGGGGCGGAAGGCTCGAGCTTGCGGTTCGTGGTCCCCCTCTGGGCCCCCTCTTGGGCCCGTCTTGGGGCCCTCTTGGGCCATCTTGGGCGCCTCTTGGGCCGTCTTGGGGCCCTCTTGGGCTGTCCTGGGGCCCTCTTGGAAGCTTCTTGGGCCGTCTTGGGGCGGTCTTGGGCGCCTCTTGGGCCGTCCTGTAACGTCGGAAAGCCCAAAAGGCGACTTTGTTGAAAATGTACGTTTTACGAAGGGAATGGGCCAACTTTTGCGTCTAGGGGCCCTCTTGGGACGCATGTTGGAGGCTTCTTGGGGCCTCTTGGGGGCGTCCTTGGACGTCTGGGGTCTCCTGGGGCCTCTTGAGGGGCCTCCTGGGGGCCTCCTGGCGGCCTCTTGGGGCGGAAGGCTCGAGCTTGCGGTTCGTGGTCCCCCTCTGGGCCCCCTCTTGGGCCCGTCTTGGGGCCCTCTTGGGCCATCTTGGGCGCCTCTTGGGCCGTCTTGGGGCCCTCTTGGGCTGTCCTGGGGCCCTCTTGGAAGC